CTCTTTTTCTTCTTCCACCTCCTCCTCCTTCCTCCTCCTTCCTTCTCCTCCTCCTCTTCTTCCTCTTCCTCTTTTTCATTTCCTCCTTCTCCTTCCTCCTTCCTTCTCTCCCTCTTCCTCCTCTTCTTCCTCCTGCTCCTCCATGCAAACTACCCTCCCTCCTAGCACTGAGGTTGTTCCCTAGTTGGGTCACAAAATGTCAGCCAAACTCAAGACCTGCCCCGCTCATAGCAACAGAAATCTGGAACTCTAACTGTGGTTGTTAGGTTGAGGACCGCCCCCCCCCCCCCCCCCCCCCCCGCCCCCCCGCACTTTTAACCCTTTCTGAAGCGGAGCTGAGGATCTGTCAGGATCCCTGGATCCCGCAGAGGCCAGGTAGGCAATCCAGAGCGGATTCCTTCTCCCTTACAGGCGCCGGTGGGAAGCAGAGCCCTTCACACAGCCCGGTAGGAGGGCCCGGGGGAGAATGGGTAGCGGAGTGTCATGGGGAAGGTGGGAGACGGGTTCGCTTCGGAGAACCGGAAAGGGGTCGTGTCCGGAGGCAAGTAGATCGACAGCGTTCGATCCCGCGAGACGAAAGAGGCACGGGTGGGATTCTACCAGTTTCCCCACCAGTTCGGTGATCGCGCACTTTTGCGCCTGCACAGCCTTGCAATCGGCTGAGAGGAGAAAGAAGAGAAAAGGATGGGAGGGAGGCCCGATCCTGCACGTTTCCCTCCTCTCTCCTCTCCGCTGATGGTCGGAGCCGCTTTTCTTTTTAGACAACCGGTTGGGGAAAACCGTGGCAAACCGCTTGCATTTCACCACTGGCGAGAGGTCCGCAAGCCTTCCGAGGCATGTGTCCCAACCCGTCAGCCGTTCCCCTCCCCCATGCTGATCCACAGGCTCGAGGGGGGGCCCCACCCCCCACGAGCAGCGATCCGCATCGCCCTCCCTGCCGTCTCCCATCCACCCGCTTCATTTATTGCAAGGAAAGGAATAAGTAACTTCAGGCTCCTGAGAGACGGAGAAGATGGCGAGGAGGGCAGAGCAGGGAGGTGGGTGGAGACCCTTAAGGAGAGATCCCCCATTCCCTCTCCCCAAGCACCCCTCCCTCAATTCTCCCCCCATTCCCGGCGCCGGGAAGAGAGTGCTGCCACTCAGTGGCCAAAATAATAATTTCTCCAGGGTTTTGCTTCAAAGGACGGGAAGGGGAAATGCACCTGCCCTCATTTCCCCTCCACCCTGGTGGTCGTCCAATTTGGGGAGGGGGTTCCTGGCCCCCTCCAGCAGGTGTGTGGGGGGAGGAAAGGAAGGAGCCTTCCACCCCCAGTTTGGCCTCTTTCTGGCCGTAAGAAAGGGGTGTTCCCCCCCACCCTGCTCCCCCCCCCAAAAATCCATCCCCCCTCATTTTGATTTCCCCCCCCCCCAAAAAAAAGTCACCCTTTGGATTGACGGAGTCCAATTTGAGTCCTTTGATTGGCAGGTTGTCGGATCGGCAGCTGAAGCCCGGGGTTTCTTCGGGAGGAAGGGCGGGGGGTGGGGGGCAAACCCCCTTTTCCAAATGCACCCCTTGTTTTAAACTGCAAGGTGACCTCACGTCCCGGTGATTGGGGGGGGCGGGTTTCCCCCGGCGGTGAGGGGGATCCCCAACTCCCTGAGTGGATGAAGAAGAGAAAAAAAACCCCACAACCCAACCCCCCCACCGGCTCTCTCTCCCTTTCTGCTGCCAAATCTGGTGTCGTCCCCAAAAAAACGAGGTCAGCCGTGAAACCGTAGATCATTTTGGCAATCTCCGGAGAGGACAAGGTCAAGTTTTTTTTTAAAAAAAAACAAAAACAAAACAAGGGGGAAGAGAGAAAAAATAAAACATCCTTCAAGAAACTGGAAGATGGCTCAGTCCGTAGGCAGGAAGTCTGGTCTTTGCCCTGGCATTTAAAAAAAAAAAAATAGAAGAAGAAGAAGAAAAAGAGAGAAGATATATATATATATATATATATATATATACATATATACTTTTCTAAGCTTCTTGAGATAGTTCCGGAAGCTGCATTTGGCGGCCGGAGGGAGGGAAGCACCATTAAACAAAACGCACACACAAAAAAAACCCTGCTCTCATTTTTTGCATGGAAGACGAGGATTGTCTCTGGGTGCCCCCCTGCCACTGCATCCCAGCCACTGGAGAACGAGCCACGGCGGGTCTGTCGGAGTCGGGGAAGAAGAGGCGTGTCAGCTCCCAGGCAGCCATCTTGGCCCCATAACTTGGGACAGGAGACGCTGTCCGTTCGGCCTTCTGCACCTGCAGGTGGGCACCGTCTCTTTCTCTCTCTCTCTCTCTTTTTCTCTCTGCTTCACTCTCTCTTTCTCGCCTCTTCTCCCGGGCAGTGGATCTCTCTGGAGGGGCTGATCAGATGAAGGAAGCCACCCTGAGAACGGAGTGGAAGACGGACGCGTGGAGGAGGCATGTTTTGGCGGAGAGGGGCTGGCGAAGGGGAGAAGTGGGGGGTGGAGGAGAAGAGGCGGCCTCGCCCGCCCCCTCCACCCGATCCTCAGGACTACGTGGCCGCGGCTTCCTTCCGGGGGCCACCATCGCCCTCCTCGGCTTTCTTGGCCAGGGCCTGCTCGAAGATGTTGTGGAGGGAAGGCTCGCGATACAAGGCCACTGGGGAGAGAGAAGAGAAAGAAGGGAGGGAGGGAAAGAAGGAAGGAAGGAAGGAAGGGAGGGAGGGAGGGAGGGAGGGAGGGA